ATAAGTACTCTTGAAGACATGGAAATAAAAAGAATCAAAACAGAAAAGGAAAGAGAAGTATGAAGGCAAAAGACTGAAGAAAGACTTTGGGAACTATCTGACTCCATGAGGAAAGGAAATATAAGAGTTATAGGAATCCCAGAAGGAGAGGAGAGAGATCTAGGAACAGAGAAAATATTCAAGGAAATAATTGAAAAGAACTTCTTAAACGTGAAGGAGCTGAAAATAGACATACAAGAACCAAGAAGAATATCAAACTTCCATGACTAAAGGAAACATACACAAGACACATAATATTAAAGCTCCTAAGAATCCAAGACAAGGAAAAAATAATAAAGCTGACAAGAGGGAAGAAACAGATAACACTAAACCCAAAAAAGTCTGAGTACACATTTATTTCAAGTGCACACAGATCATTCTCCAGGATCGATCACATACTGAGACAAAAGACAAACATCAACAGATACACAAAGATTGAAATCATACCAACCATCTTCTCTGACCATGAAGGCATCAAGCTAGAAGTAAACCATAAACGAAGGCAAGGAACCCTCCTACCTCATGGAGATTGAAACCCACACTACTGGAAGACCACTGGACTAATGAGATCAAAGAAGAAATTAAAAAAAACTTTGAGTTGAATGACAAGGAGGACACCAATTTCCTTAATGTATGGGACACAGCAAAAGCAGTAATAAGAGGGAAATATATAGCAATAGAGGCTCACATCAAGAAATAAAAAAGATCTCAAAGAAACAGCCTAATCTCGAAGTTCAAAGAACTAGAAAAAGAACAAAAACAAAAACAAAAAAAAACCCAAAACCAGTAGAAGAAAAGAAATAATAAAAATCAAAGCAGAAATAAATGAAATCGAAACAAAAAAAAAAAATCCAAAAGATCAATGAAACCAAAAGCTGGTTCTTCGAAAAAAATCAATAAAATAGACAAACCCCTAGCCAGGCTCACAAAGGAAAAAAGGGAGAAAGCACAAATAAATAGGAGCACAAATGAAAGAGGAGAAATCACAACAGACACAGCAGAAATAAAAAGAATAATCAGAAACTACTATGGACAGTTATATGTTAACAAGTTTTACGATCTGAAGAGATAGACAAATTCCTACAACTCTACAATCACCCAAAGCTAGATAAAGAAGAAACAGAACACCTAAACAGACCAATTACAAGCAGCAAAATTGAAATGGTAATCAAAAACCTGCCCAAAAACAAAAGCCCAGGACCTGATGGATTTACAAATGAATTCTACCAAATATTCAGAAACGAATTAGTGCCTATACTTCACAAAATCGTTCAAAAAAATTGAGAAGGAAGGGATAATACCAAACACATTCTATGAAACCAACATTACACTAATACCAAAACCGAACAAGGACAACACAAAAAAAGAAAACTATCTCTAACAAGAGGTAAAGGACCTATACAAAGAAAACTATAAAACACTGTTAAAAGAAATAGAAGAAGACACAAAGTAATGGAAAGACATCCCCTGCTCATGGATTGGAAGAATTAACAGTATTAAAATGGCCATCCTACCAAAAGCAATTTAAGATTCAATGCTATTCCAATCAAAATTTCAATTACATTCTTCAAAGAAATAGAACAATTATTGATGAAATTCATATGGAAGCACCAAAAACCCCAAATAGCCAAAGCTCTACTGAAAAAAAAAAAGAAGGGAATGGAGGCATCACATGTCCAGACTCCAAATTATACTACAAAGCCATAATCATCAAAACTGCATGGTATTGGAACAAGAACAGAACACACAGACAAATGGAACCGAATAGAAAATCCAGAAATAAACCCACAGATTTACAGGCAACTAATCTTTGACAAAGGAGCAAAGAATATGCACTGGAGCAAAGAAAGTTTGTTCAATAAATGGTGCTGGGAAAACTGGGTCGCTACATGCAAAAGAATGAAGCTTGACTTCAACCTCACACCGTGCACAAAAACCAACTCCAAATGGATTAAAGAACTAGACATAAGACCTGAAACCATAAAATACATAGAAGAAAATTCTGGCACACAAAACTAATGATAAAGGACTGATCCCAAAAATCTACAAAGAGCTAATGAGACTCAACAAAAACAAAGAAAATAATCCAGTCAAAAAATGGGCAGAGGAGCTAAAAAGAAATTTCTCCAAAGAGGAAATGCAAATAGCCAACAGGCATATGAAAAAATGTTCAACATGACTTGTAATCAGGGAAATGCAAATCAAAACTACCATGAGATACCATCTTACACCAGTGAGAATGGCATATATTAAAAAAACTAGCAACAACAAATGTTGGCAAGGTGTGGAGAAAAAGGAACTCTCCTGCACTGCTGGTGGGAGTACAAACTCGTCCAACCACTATGGAGAGCTGTGTGGAGATTTCTTGACCTACTAAAGATAGAGCTTCCATACGATCCAGCAATTCCACCCCTAGGTATTTACCCAAAGGACACAGAAACATTAATTCCAAAGGGCACCTGCACCCCTATGTTTATAGCAGCACTACTTACAAAGCTATGGAAACAGCCCAAATGCCCAAAAATAGATGACTGGATCAAGAAGATGTGGTATATATACACGATGGAATATTATTCAGCAATCAAAAAAGATAAACACACGCAGTTTGCAGCAACATGGATGGAGCAAGAAGGGATCATGCTCAGCGAAATAAGTCAGAAAGAAAAATACCAGATGGTCTCACTCATAGAAGGAATTTAGAAAACCTAAATAAGGGACCAGGAAAAAGGCTAATTATTACAAAGTAAAAATCAAAATCAACAAGCAACTCTAAACCAGACACACTTCGGGGTAGGGGGAGGGGCAGGGAGAGGAAGGACTAGGGTCAAAATAAGGAGAGGGTGCAATTGTATGGGGAATATAACCAAAATGAAAATGATGCATACATTTTGCAAATATGAAAAATGATGTAAGAATTATATAAAATAAAATATTAACTAAAAAAAAAGTTATCTAGTAAAGAAAAAGCTTTGGGCCTCCAGACAGCTTTCCATAGTGCTTATACTAGTTTGCACTCCCACCAGCAATGTAGGAGAGTTTCTTTGTCACCACATCCTCACCAAAATTTGTTGCTAGTTTTTCTGATATGTGTGTTTCTTACTGGTGTAAGGTGGTATCTCAATGTGTTTTTGATTTACATTTCCCTGATTATATGGGGTGTTGAACTTTTTTTCCTATGCCTGTTGGCCATTTGCATTTCCTCTTTGCAGAAATGTCTTTTAAGTTATTCTGCCCATTTCTTGACTGGATTGTCTACTAAAATTGGAGCTACCATGTGACTCAGCAATTCTACTCCTAGGGTTCTACCCAAAGGACACAAAAACACTGATTCAAAAGAACACTTGAACCCCTATGTTTATTGCAGCACTATTTATAATAGGTAAAACCTGAAAACAATGCAAATGCCCAAAAATAGATGACTGGATCAAGAAGATGTGGTATACATACACAATGGAATACTATTCAGCCATCAAAAAGACAAACTCATGCCATTTGCAGCAACGTGGATGGAGCTAGAAGGAATTATGCTCAGTGAAATAAGTCAGAAGGAAAAGGAAAAATTTCGGATGGTTTCACTTATAGGAGGAATACAGAGGAACCAAATTAGACATCAGTGTAAAAATCAATAACTACACAACACAAAACAAAACCAGACAATTATAAATCATAGACATCCTGCAGGGGAGGAGGAGAGAGAGGGATCAGAGGAAGAGAGGGAGGAGCACAGGGGACTGTGGTGATGGTGCACAAGTGCATTGGTGAAGGAAATTCTATAGGCAATGCACCTGGGGGGAGGGGGCAGAAAGCAAGTATCGTTTAAAAATGAACAATGAGGGCCTCCCCTCCCCGGTGGAGTAGGTGTTGAGCGCTGGGTTTCGAGGCTGCCCACAGCCTCTGCAGCGCCGGTTCAATCCCTGGCCACCAGGTGAGGGTCCCACATGGCACGCAGACCTCTCCTGCCGCCTGCTGTTCCCTCAGCAGTGTGCTTCGTCAATCTGCCTGCTCTACTCTTCCCACTGGCTCTGGTGAATTCTCTCACCCTCCCGCGCTTCTGACTGTACCCAGTGTTTGTATAAATAAATAAATAATTCTTTTAAAAAAATCAATAATGATATAAAAAATAAATTTTTAAGAAATTATAAAAAAAATTATAAAGATTAAATAACAAATGTCTGGGTGCACAGCAAATGTTTAATAACAGTTTATTCATTCATAGGACCAAGAAAGAATAAAGTAGAGTAGCTCTGGTAGTTATTTTTATTTTCATTATTACTTAGCTCTGTTTCAATTTGTAATGGTTGTATAATATTTTATATTATAATATTTTATTTATAATGTATAATATTTTATTTATCACATTAATTGTGATAAATAAAAATTTTTAGCCCCCAAAAAAAGAAGAAAAGAAAAGAAAAAGCTCGTGGGCTCCCTGGTGGTGCAAGTGGGTAAACACAGCACTATGAAGCAACCCGCAGCTACTGCAGCACAAGTTCAATCCCCGGCCAGGGAGTTTACCCGCATGGTGCAGCAGACCTCTCTTGTCTCACCTGCTGCTCTCCTCAGCAGTATATTTCAGTAAATCCGCCTGTTCTGCTCCCCACTGTCTCTGGTGAATCCTCTCACCCTCACACCTCTAGCCTGTACCCCAGTTCTTGTATGCATATATAAATCTTTAAAAAAAAAAGGAAAAAGCTCAAAGTTAAAGGCCAATTACCAAAGAGCTAGAGGCCCAATCCAAGCCATGCCCCAACCCCTACCCTGGCTCTAGCCTACCCTGAAAGAGGCTAGCCAACAATGGCCCCAACTTACCAGGTTTTTGACCTGATGCTGAGTGCTAGCCTTGAAAGCCACAGTTGGCAGCTCGTTTCGTAGGTAATTCAGCCACTTCTCCACAATTTCCTTGGGGACAAGGTCTGAAGAAAATAGGAATAGACAGGAGGTAAGGAGAACATCACCTTACAATGGCTCACTCTAAAGATCTCCACCACCAAAAACTAGGCCCAACTCTTATCAACAACTATCTCCCTAGCCCTGCCAGACCTTGCTGAGTCCCCAGAGGTCAGAGTTGGAAAGGACAGTATAGCCTAGGGTACCAGGTAGTGCTCCCTGAGGGAGCTCTGTTCCTTTGGGGAGAAAAGGAAAATTAGCTGTTTCTTCTCAGATACTTTTCTTCAAAATCAGAATGCCAGAGTGTCTGACTGCCTGAGAGCCAGAGTTCCATAGGCCTCCCTCAGATTATTGTCCATCTTCTCTCTGGACAAATCTATGCTGTACCAAATGTCAAGAATAACCATGACAAGAACAGCTACCATTTGTGAAGTGCAGGCCACATGTCAAACATTTATCATTAATTCTCACAACCCTGAGGTTGGGACAATCACAGACCTTTTTCCATCCAGATAATAAAAAAAAAAAAAAACAAGATCTCTGAAAAGAGATATGATTTGTCCAAGATCACAGAGAAAATAAGACAGCACAACTGGTATAAGAAATAGAATTGAGTGACTCTTCAGTCCACGCACTCTTCTGATCAAGACTGGTTCCAGCTTCAGGGAAACAGAAATTCTCCAGGACTAGCAACTTACAGACAAGGCTCAAAATGCAAGAACAGGGGACTGAAAGGTAGATAGATTTGGGCTCCATTCCCAACACTACACTGTGTGTGTATGTATGTATGTCTATATGTCTGTATGTCTTCTGTCTGTCTTTAGACAAGTGACTTTACCTCTCAGATTCCTGGCCTCAAACACAAGAATTCATATCTTGAAAAGCTGAAAGCCTTTCCTTTAAGACAAGGATGGGATGTCCACTCTCACCACTGTTTTTCAATATAACTCTGGAAGTCCTAGCCAGAGCAGTAAGACAAGAGAAAGACATACAAGGAATCCAAATAGGGAAAGAAGAAGGAAAACTATCACTATTCGCAAATGATATAATAACACACAGAGAACCCCAAAAACTCCACAGAAAAACTAATCAAAATAATCAATCAATTTACTTAAGTACCAGAAATAAAAATCAACACACATATATCAGCAGCTTTCCTATATGCAAACAACAAATCTAAAGAAGAAGAAATCAAGAAAACCATCCCTTTTATAATTGAAACAAAACATCAAATGCTTGGGAATAAACCTAACAAAAGAGGTGAAGGACCTATACAAAGAAAATTATAAAACATTGTTAAAAGAAATAAAAGAAGACACGAAGAAATGGAAAGACATCAACTGCTCATGGATTGGAAGAATTAACATTTTCAAAATGGCCATCCCACCAAGGGCAATTTACAGACTCAATGCTATGCCAATAAAAATTTCAGTGACATTCTTCAAAGTAATAGAACAAATATTAATGAAATTCATACAGAGCCACAAAAAAACCCAAATAGCCAGAGCTCTCCTGAATAAAAAGGAAGGGAATGGAGGTATCACATTCCCAGACTTCAAACTATGCTACAAAGCCATAATAATCAAAAATGCATAGTACTGGAACAGGAACAGATACACAGACCAAAGGAATCAAATAGAAAACCCAGAAATAAACCCACAGATTTATGGGCAACTAATCTTTGACAAAGGAGCAAAGACTATGCAATGGAAAAAATAAAGTCTGTTCAATAAATGGTGCTAGAAAAACTGGGCTGCTACATGCAAAAAAAAATGAACCTTGACTACTACCTCACACTATGCACAAAAACCAACTCAAAATGGTTAAAAGAACTAGACATAAGAACTGAAACCATAAAATATATAGAAGAAAAATAGGCAAAACACTACATGACATATACCTCAATAACGTCTTTAAAGACACATCACCAAAAACAAAGATAGTGACGGAAAGGATAAACAGATGGGACTACATCAAATTAAAGAGCTTTTGTACAGCAAAAGAGACATTAACCCAAACAAAGAGACACCCCACTGATTGGGAGAAAATTTTTGCACACAATACCACAAATATCTACAAAGAGCTGATGAAACTCAACAAAACAAAGTAAACAACCCAGTCAAAAAATGGGCAGAATAGCTAAAAAGACACTTCTCCAAAGAAGAAATGCAAATGGCCAACAGGCATATGAAAAAATGTTCAATGTCACTCGTAATCAGGGAAATGCAAATCAAAACCACAATGAGATACCACCTTGCACCAGTGAGAATGGCACATATCTATTTTTAGGTATTTGGGTTGTTTCCAAAGTTTACCTATTGTAAACAGTGCTGCAATAAACATAGGGGTGCAGGTGTCCTTTTGAATTAATGTTTTTGTGTCCTTTGGGTAGATACCTAGGAATGAAATTGCTGGATCATATGGAAGCTACATTTTTAGCGGTTTTAGGAAACTCCACACAGCTTTGCACAGTGTTTGCACCAGTTTGCAATCCCTCCAGCAGTGTAGGAGAGTTCCTTTTTCTCCAAATCCTCACCAACATTTGTTGTTGCTAGTTTTTTTAATATGTGCCATTCTCACTGGTGTAAGATGGTATCTCATTATGGTTTTGATTTTAATTTCCCTGATTAGAAGTGATGTTGAACATTTTCTCATATGCCTATTGGCCAAAAGAGATGACTGGATCAAGACGATGTGGTACATATACACAATGGAATATTACTCAGCAATCAAAAATGATAAATTCATGCCATTTGCAGCAACATGGATGGAGCTGGAATATGCTCACTGAAATAAGCCAGAGAGAAAAAGAAAATACCAGATGGTTTCACTTAAAGGAGGAATGTAGGGAATCCAAATAAGGAATCAGTGGGCAAAATGTAATTAAAGTAAAAATCAAAATCAACAGGCAACTATAAACCAGAGACATTCTGCAGTGGGGGAGAATGGCACCTATCAAAAAAAAACTAGCAACAACAAATATTGTCGAGGATGGAGAGAAAAAGGAACTCTCCTACACTGCTGGTGGGAATGTAAACTGGCCCAGCCACTATGGAAAGCTGTGTGGAGGTCCCTCAAACTGCTAAAAATGGAGTTTCCATATGATCCAGCAATTCCACTCCTAGGTATCTACCCAAAGGACACAAAAACATTAATTCAAAAGGACACCTGCATCCCTGGGTTTATTGCAGCACTATTTACAATAGGTGAGCTATGGAAACAACACAAATGCCCAAAAATAGATGACTGGATGAAGAAAATGTAGTAAATATATATATACAAAGGAATATTAATCAGCAATCAAAAAAGACAAACTCATGACATTTGCAGCAAAAATGGATGGAGCTGGAAGGGATCATGCTCAGTGAAATAAGACAAAGAAAAAGAAAAATACCAGATGGTTTCACTTATAGGAGGAATGTAGAAGATTCAAATAAGGGATCAGGGGAAAAAAAGTTATTATAATAAGGTGAAATCAAAATCAACAAGCAACTATAAACCAGAGACATACTGCAAGGGGTAGGGGAGATGGGAGTAGGCTCAAAACAGGTAGGAAGAACACAAGGGACTATGGTGATGGGTGCACGGGTAAACTGGTGGTGGGAATTTCACGGGGACTATAACCAAGATGAGAAAGCATATATTGTAAAATAATGAGGAATGATGTAATATAAAAAAAAAATTCCTACCTTATACAACTGCAATGAATAGCACTGTACTACTGAGTCTCAGTGTCCACTCTGAGCTAGTCTTTGAAGAAGGCCTAACCCCTCCCCTACTTTACTCATTCCTGCCCAATACCCACCAATCTTGTTCAACACTAAGACCAGCTTCTTATTGCCTTCTGCCCGTAGGACAGCCTCCTCCATTTGGAAGCACCGGCAGCCCAACGGGTCCCTTGCATCCAAGACTTCCAGAATTACATCAGAGTATTCCACCACCTGCAGGCAGAGGACAGGGGAATAAAGGCAAGGAAAGGATTGAGTACCAGTCACACACACTCATGAAAGAAAAGGTCTCCATCTTAGAAAAAAGAGAAATATAGAGGAGATGGGACTGAATGTATACCCTCCTTAAAGAGCCTTCAGAAACAGGTGACCATAGCCCAATGAACTGTGGTCAAAGACTTTGGGTGCTTTGGTGGTGGGCACATAAATCTGAGGAGGTGTGAACCTATTCCACTAAATCATATACAATGCTGTAAACCAATATTCCCTCAATTAAAAAAAAAGGTCCCCTTACCTTACAGAACTCCTTATAATAAGCCTTTCTTGTGGCCTCATCATCCAGTTGAGGAAACATATTTAATTCCTGCATAACTTCCTCCTAAATGAGAAAAAGAATGAATGACCCAGGGGAAGAAAGAGAGCGAGTCAGGGGTTTGGAAATCTCAGGAGATTGTGGGAGTCATGTGAGTCCCAGCTCACCAAAAAGCAGCTGTAACAGTGGGGGAACTTGAAGAAGAATGAATAAACCCATATGGTACATGTATGTGTGTATGTGTAAGTGTGTGTTCATGTAGCAGCTAGAGGCCTGCATGTGCAGATGGATCTGTAAGAGAGGAATGTTAAAGGGAGGTGTGAGAAAAATAATTTGGGGGGGGGCAAGAGATAGGAGAGGAATATGTATTATATATTGTGAGTTGGAAAATGACTATTCTGTGAGATAAGAATATAAGCCAGAAAAGCAGTAAGAACCCCTAAAGGAAGATAACATCCATCCTTCTCACGCATACTCCTCTCTTCAACCCTCCCCTCATACTAACTCCCTGTTTCCCTCTGTACACTAATCCTACATCTCCTGCCCCCTTTTCCAAGCCTCAAACTTTGAGCTCCAACTTAAGAGAGAAGACCTACGCACAACTGTCCAATCATATGTAAGACATAAAATGGCCCTTTAGCTCCCTCTCATGCTCCTTCCCTTTGTCTCTAGGGATCCTGAGCCTTTCTGCACTTACTCTCTACTTTACTTCCAACAATCTCATATCCTTCAGCTTTCCCTTTCACACAGCAATGACAAAAGCTGCTGCTGAGCAAATACACACCAATCCTACCCAAGGGTAAGGACTGCTTGCTTACCTTGTGCTCAAACTCCTCCTGGCGTCTCAGGACATCCTGACAGTAACTTTCGATGGTCCTACGTCTGTGTTTCTCTTGCTCCCGGGCAATCTTCTGTTTTTCCCTCATATCCTCAACCTTACAAGTGAACATACATAGGGATTATAGCTAATTAGGTCTGTAGTCTGAGAAAAGGATGGAAGACCAAGAGTAACAGGGAGCGGGATGACAAAGGGAGGAAACAGTGTGACACACTAAGATAGGAGGAGCAGAGACACAGGGAGAGAGCAGATATGACTGAAGCACGTATGTGGCTTGAGAAAAAGAAAAGAAAAGATGAAGAAAGGGAGAGAGTAACAGTGAATAATAAAAATAGGGTATGTAGAGCTCAAAGAGATGTATCATAGACAGAGGAACCACTGAAGACCAGAGGGAGAAAGAGGACAAGGTTCTGGTATACTCCATCATTTTAAGGGCAGAAGGGAAAAAAAAAGTAGAGAAACTGGAGAAGAAAGAGGACAGCCAGGCGTGAGGATGTGAAGAAAGTCAAAGGGAAAGAGTTTTAATTAAAACATGGTTTCAGATACTGAGAATTCAGATAAGGGAATTATCCATGAGTGCAATATCCAAGAACGTGCTGGTGAGACTGGCAGGGGTTATCATTTCAGTGGAACAGTGGACCATAAGCTTGACAATAACTGAATGGGCGTAGGGAGGATATGAGCAAAGGGAAAAACCCTAAAGTATCAAAGTGACCACCCTCTCCCCGCTCCACAAATAGCCTCAACAGCCCTGACAGTTCTGGCCTCTGCCCTTCCTTCAATGCTTCTGTGGAGCTGGCAGTCCAGCTTCCCCTCCTTCAAGGTAAAGGGCTTACCCTCTTCTTCTTTAATTCTGCCTCCCAATTGGCATGATCACTGGAATGAACAAACTGGGGAGCAGAAGGCACTTTGGAGGCTGATTTCTTCCCATTCTGTTTTGCAGGCTGGTCACCACACAAGAAGGGAAAAATATCAAACAGAGATAATGAACACATGGAAATTATCCCTCCTGGGATGTTAAAGTTCTGAAGTGGTTTATTTTGGGGTTGTGGGGGAGTCGGAGGGAGGAAGGGAAAGGGAAGAGAGAAGTGTAAGTAAAAAAGAAGAGCTCTGTGCCTAAAAGTCTGAATATCTAGTAGAGAGCAACACTCTCTCTGCCGGTCAGGCAGAGCTGACTGAAAAACTGTAGGAAAAAGGGAGTGGATAGGGAACAACTAAGAAGGTATCCCAACTAAAGGTCAAGGGATAATCTTTCTAGACAAACAGTTCTTAATTGTGGTCACTGAAGAAGCAGCAGCAGCAGCACATAGAAACCTGCCTAAGTCTTACATGTCTATATCTTTCCCAGCAAGATCAGGAAGTCCAAGAACTGGAGACAAAGATTATGTTTTTGCATCCTTCTTCTTCATGAGTGATAGGAAGAAACTTGGGGATCAGACAGACTCAACTTCTAGCTGAATTACCCTGAACCTTAAAACTTGAAAGAAATTTAAGTTTCTTCATTTAAAAAATGGGGATGATGCAACCTCTACCAAGGTAAATCAAGCACAAAGCAGAGTATGGCTTATGATGGCACCTTAATAAGTATTGCTGATTCTCTGCTGTAGCCACTCAGAAAGAAAGGAAAAGTTAGACATGCTGATTCTGATGTGATATTCTGTCTAAGGTTACCCAACATGTACTGGTTTTTGTCAGCCTCTGCTAGGGCAGGGCACCTGTTTCCCAACAATGGGCATAACTTACCTGAGAGTGGGGCATACTTACCTTCTTGCATCCTTTGGAACTTTTACCTGGCTTTTTATTTTCTACAAGAGAAAAGAAAAAGTGCTATCATCCACCTATCCAATATTTGTTGCATAGGCCTCCCTGGTGGCGCAGGGGTTAAAGTCTCAGCACTATCAAGCTATCACCAGCCACTGCAGCCTGAGTTGGATCCCCAGCCAGGGAGCTAACCCACATGGCACAGCAGACCTCTCCTGTCTCGCCTGCTACACCCCTCAGCAGTGTATTTCAGTAGATCCACCTGTTCTGCTCCCCACTCTGTCTTTGAATCCTCTTGAATCCTCTCACCCCCACACCTCTGGCCTACACCCCAGTTCTTGTATGCATAAATAAAAACAAACCTTTAAAAAAATATGTTGACACTTTCATCAAGGCCAGGCCATACTGACAATATAAGGAAGCCTCAGACACTTATGTCTAGGTCAGCATAAGACAGACACTCAGATGGCAAACACTCACAAGTCAGACTGGATTTAATGTTTGAAACATCACCATAAACTCAAACAATTCTTAAGGGAATCCAGTAAGAAGGATGACCAGAATGTGCACTTGTGACACCTCAATTTCCCCAAACTTACTTCTGGAGGCAACTCAACAATTTTGTACCCAGGCTGAAGTGGGTAAGTCGGCAGCATGGCAAGGTGTTCTGAGGTGTCCCAGGCATCTAAACCAGAGAAGATGCCCTCAGCAAGTACAGAGAGAACAACCCATTCCTGTCAACCCTGCTCAGGGCTTACTCACCTAATGGTAGTTTCCATTGCATACAAGGAGTAGAGCGCTCACCTCCAATCACACCTTAACAAAATCCAAGCTCTTAAGAGGGCTCTAACCCTTTTACCAAGTACTGACTGTCATCCCTTCACAGCTAGCCTCTTCCCCTAAACCTTATAACCCGCAAAGGGGATAAAATAATTAAGTTCAAAAGGGGGAGGTTCTAGAAGGTAAGACTATATCTGAATATAGGTGCAGCTTGACATTACCAGATAGAAAAGGCTCCACAATCACATTAGGGGTTTTCCACCAAAGAAGAGATCATGCAGGAAATACCATTATAATACCATTTTAAAATCTTGAGATACTTCCAAAGAAATGTGAGAAAAAGATTCCTAAAATTTGATATTGAATAAAAATTCAATATGTGTAGTGAAAGAACAGATATCACTAACAACCAAAGCAATAGCTAGAAGATCAATGGAACAGTTTGCTTAAAACAAACAAAAATCTAAAAAAAAAAACAGAAATTATGAAGAAAAACAGGAAATGGAGAATGAACCCATGAAAGCTAATATCTAAATACCAGAGTTCCAGAAAGAGAAAAGGGCAAAAATAGAGGTGGAATTTTTAAAAATAATAGAAGAATGCACCTGAAGTTGAAAACAGACTTGAAATTTCAAATTAGAAAGACTCATTGAGGATCAAGATTAACAAAGACATACCCTGGGCATAAGCTGGTGAAATTTCTGAACTCCAGGGATAAAGAGAAAATCTTACAGATGATCAAACAGAAGGAGTTTCCAATAAAGACAAGAAAAGCAGTCTTCTCAAATCTACAACTTGAACTCTTAAAACAGAATAACCATTATAAAGTTTTGAGACAAGGGACTGTGTTCCAAACTGAATTCCTATACCTGAACAACAGATCACATTTATGTGATAGTAAAATACAGACATGTTGATAGATACAAAATTACCAGCTGTGTTCACATTCAAGAAAAACTATTTGAGGGCCTCCTTGGTGGCACAGGAGGTTAAGATGCAACCTATGAAGCTGTCCGCAGCCTATGCAGCATGAGTTCGATACCCTGGTCCACCATGGAGCGACACACTTGGCACAGACCTCTCCTGATTTGTCCGCTGCTCCCCTCAGCAGTGTATTTCAGTCATTCTGCCTGTTCTGTTCCCCACTCCGTCTCTGGTGAATCCTCTCATCCCCCATGCCTCTGACCTGTACCCCAACTCTTGTATGCATAAATAAATATTTTTTTTAAAAAGAAAGAAAAACTATTTGAGAAAAATAAAAATTAAATCAGAATATACAGGTCTACCACATTTTGTTTTACTTCACAGATGAAGTCCTGACTTAACATCATTGATAGATTCCTAGAAACTGACCTTAAGTGAAAAACTTATGATGAAAGCTGGTTCTTGAATAACATTGGTTCACTCAAAGTTTTTTTTTTTCATCAAGGTTATAATGAAATGACAATATTAAAAAACCATTATTAAAATGACAGCAGGGCCTCTCTGGTGGCGCAAGGGGTTAAGACAGCACTATGAAGCAATCCGCAACCACAGCAGCATGAGTTTGATCCCTGGCCAGGAGAAGGAACTACACATACAAGTCCACAAAGCTAATGAAACACAAGGTTCTTTTAAACAGAATGATAACTACACCATGACACAGAGTAGTGAAACTTCCAAGATTTCATGCAAAAGAAAGAATACCGAAGCTGGCTAGTGGGGAGAAGCAAATAACCCATAAATGAAAGCCAATCAGGCTTATATTAGACTTCTCTGAGAAAACAATTTGGGCAAGGAGAGAATGGAAGGATGTGATCAAAATACTGACAGAAAAAAAAAATGTCAGTCAAAATTACTATGTTGGGCCTCCCTGGTGGCGCAGGTGGTTGAGTGCCACACTGTGAAGCTGTCCACAGCCTCTGCAGCATGGATTCGATCCCAGCCAGCCGACGAGAACTCCACATAGTGAAGCAGACCTCTCCTGTCTTGCCCACTGCTCCCCTCAGCAGTGTATTTCATCAGTCTGCCTGTTCTGTTCCCCACTCTGTCTCTGGTGAATCCTCTCACCCTCCCGCGCATCTGGCCTGTACCCCAGTTCTTGTATAAATAAATCTTAAAAAAAAAAAAAAAGATTACTATGTCCTTCAAGGCTCTCCTTCAGAAATGAGGGAGAAATAAAGGACTTCGCAGAAAGACAGATGCTGAAGGAATTTGCAAACACTAGACTCCCCCTCCAAGAAATGTTGAAGAATCTCTCATATCTAAAATGAACAAAAGAATATTCACAAAGAACTTAGCCAGGAAGTAGACAGAAGCACAGTAACAGACATTCATATATCAACAATTATTCTAAATGTTAACAGACTGAAATCACAAGTTAAAAAGACATAGAAAATTTGGTTGGATTAAAAATTTTTCTGCCATCTCCAGGAAATATATCTGGGCTCCAAAGATAGACATAATCTCAGTTTAAATAAAGGGTTAGAAAACAATCCTACAAACAAACAGGACCCAAAGGAAGGCAGGGCCAGCCATATTAATATCAGTTAAAATACATTTCCAGTTCAAAAAAAGGCAACAAGAGACAGGGATAGACATTATGATGATTAATGGAACAAAACATCAGAAAGACAGAACACTCATATCTATCTATCTATCTATCTATCTATCTATGTATCTATCTATAAGCAAACAAAGGAGCATCAAAATCTATCAGGCAATTATTAACAAATTTGAAAAGAAACACTGCAAAATTACATTCATGGCAGGGTATTACAATACCCCCAATTTCATGAATGGGCATATCAACCAGACAGAAACTAAAGACGCAATAGTCTTAAATAAAGAATTAGGCAACATGGGCTTAATAGACATTTGTAGTGCACTGCACTGCAAGATGATAAATACACATTCTTTTCAAGAGCACAAGGGACATTCCCCAGGATTGACAAGACATTTGGTAACAAGTAACAAAAAATTCATGAAGATTGAAATCATACCAATATTCTTCTTTGTCCATGAAAGTATCAAACTATTGATAGAAAACAACCTCAAAATGGAAGCAGGTTAAACCTGCAATATGTGGGAAATAAACAATACACTACTGAATGGCTATTGGGTTAATTAAAAATCAAAGAAATTTAAAAGGGCCTCAAGACAACCTTCCAGAACTTATGATACACAGCGAAAGCACTAAGAGAGAAGTACATAGCAATGCAGGTCCACATTAAAAAAAAAAAAAGAGAGAGCCTCCCTGGTGGTATAAGGGGTTAAGTCTCAGCATTATCAAGCTATCACCAGTCACTGCAACATGAGCCGGATCCTGGTGCAGGAACTAACCCACATGGCACAGCAGACCTCTCCTGTCTCACCCACTGGTCCCCTCAGCAGTGTATTTCAGTGAATCTACTTGTTCTAGCCCACTCTGTCTCTGGTGAATCCTCTCAAACCCCCCCACCCCAGCACCACTGGCCTAAACCCCAGTTCTCTTTTTAAAAAAGAGCTCAAATAGCACTAAACTTAAGGAAATAGAAGAGGAAAAACAAGCAAAACCAAAAGTCAATAGAAGAAAGGAAATAATAAAATTTAGAGCAGAAATAAATGAAATAAATCAAAAAGACAGTTTAAAAGAATAATGAAATCAAAGGTTTTTTTCAAATTTTTTAAAAAAATTATATGTTTCTTAAACTGTTGTTCATTTCTGTACATTGTTGGATTTCTCCTTTCAGGTGTAATCCCAATAAAATTACCACCACCAAGACACATGTGAACCGTCACCATAGTCTCTTGTGCTCTTCCCTCCCGTTTTTTTTTTTCCTGTTTGTCAGTTTTATTTTTTTTAATTTTATTTTTTATTTATATATATTTTACATCATTGTTCAATTCCAAAAGTTTTTTAAAAACAGACAAACCTCTAGCTAGGCTCACAAAGAAGAGAAAAAACACAAATAAGATCAGAAATGAAAGGGAAGAAGTTACAACTGATAGCAGAAATTCAAAGGATAATAAGAGATTACTATGAACATTTGTATGATAGTAATTTCTACAACATAGAGAGTTGGACAAATTCCTAGACTTATACAACTATCCAAGACTGAATATGGAAGAAGTAGAAAACCTGGTAGACCAATCACAACAAGGAAATTGAAACAATAATCAAAACTCTGCCAAAAAGCTAAAGTTAGACAGCTTTACAAGTAACTTCTTCCAAACTTTTAAAGAGGAGCAAACACTTATCTTACTCAAACTCTTCCATAAAATATAAAAGTGGGACTACTTCCAA